CCCTCTTCGTCCCTCTCCTCTGCCGCAGCGTAGCTGCGGCGGGGCCACTTGTTTTTTTTAATTTCTTCTTTCTGTCTTTTCTGTTTTTTAATGTTTTATAAACTCCAAAAACTTCATTGTTTCCTTAAAAAAAAATATGGGGTTGTAGGGTTTGAAAAACCCTACAACCCCTTTTTTTTTTCTTTTTTTTGCCTATTATTTTTTACGAGAAATTCATGTAAAAACGTGGCTGCGGTGCGGCCGCCCCCAGTCGCGGATGCGGCCATGAACATGGCCACCCTCCGACCCTGCGGCCCCGGCCGGGGACACCGAGGATACATAGGTATGTGGTTTTATTTAATATGGGTGGGGGGTGGGGCTCATTGGGGGTTTTATTTAATAACGGTTGAGGGCAGCGGTGAGTGGGGGAGGTGGGGTGGGCGGTTTTTTTTTTTTTTATATGGGTGGGGTCGTGGGGTTGGGGCTAATAGGGGACTGGTGGTGGGGGCGCAGGGTGTTAGGATATGTTGTGCGGTAGCGTGAGAACTGGTGAGTTAGGGGGTGCAGTCATTGTTTACAACAATCAAACAGCAGTTACACATTAGTGGTAAAAAATGCAGAAACCTAACATAATCGCATCTTTCATTTAAAAAAAAAAGTTGGAATATAGCATGCATTCAGTCATACATCAAATATAGAGTCGAAACAACAAATGTAATTGACAATGGAGATGCAAACGAGTATCGACTCATGAACAAACATAATTTTACAAATGTCAAAGGTACGAATGTGGAGCATGGTCATCCAAAACCGACAACTGGAAGGTGAGGAAAACAAAAAGAATAAAAACGTACCACATCTCATCCAATGATTATGGCGCGTATCACAAAAAAAAAAAAAGGAAACGCGATTTCAACAACTACATCTATGAAGACATATCTACTATCTAAGAACCATCCACAACAAATTATAGTAAACCCTACCGGGCCTACCCACCTGCAACTCAATGTTTGCGTAAGCAGTGCATGCGAATGAAATGGAACGTCCTAAGTCCCAGAAGGAAAACCACCACCAAATATATACAAAAAAAAACAAAATTATGAATAGACAAACAACTAATCGTCGTCAACGACGTTCGCCCTCGTCCTCGTCCGGGAAGCAAGTACTCTCTCTCATCCACCTCGGCCCTGACCATATCTCTGAGCAAAATGTGCCATGTGGTGGACATCGTGCCTCCTCCACTATTCCACAGTCATCTCCAAACCGCCACTTCCCATGGAATACGGGCCCGGTGCAAGTGCAGCAGGACGTGGTGTCTTGTCTATGACATCCTCGCCTAAGATGCGGCCCGTCGTTCCTCTCTCCAGCGGGCAGGTCGGAGGCGGATCGACAGTTGTCGAAGGGGTCGACGCAAGTTTTCCCCCCCGCGGTGGTCCCCGAATGTCCACCACGCACGCCATGTCGAACCGCCTGTCATGCGTGCGCCGCGCAATGTCGATGGCCCGACCCCCGTGCTGTCCGAACGTGCACCTCCAATCTGGCCCCGATCCCAACCTGTTGTATCCACCACGATGTCCCCGCCTCGTGACAACGGTGGAGGTCTGAGGTCTCTACAATGCAGGAATGGCAGTTAATCCTGGTTGCATGTCTCGCATCGCCGAACTGACCTTCCTCAACGAACCTAACCCATAAGATCGTGTCTTTATCCGTGATTGCAGAGAAAGACTATATGAACCTCTACCTTCTCTCAGTCCTGTCACTGGTCCTGATGAACGACCCTCAGACCCGCCACGCCCACTATCCCATAACCTCGTATTGGCCACGCATGCGGCCCTAATGCTCTCCATCTGCCCCACAGGACCCCAAGCAGGGGGGGTCACGCCTGTCATGGAAGACGACACAAAGGGCTACATGGCGCATATGGTGGGGGGTCTGCCAATGCTATCCTACTATCGTCCTCCATCTGTCCTCATTGATCTGCCTCCAAAGGATCCTCCGTCCCGTCAAACTCCAAGACTACAGGGGGCATGCTGCCACCCAAGGGCAACACACATATTCGTTGCACAAGCGCATCAGGACGGTCAGTGACTGCTAAAACGGTCGACGTCTCACCATGTCCCTCATCTGCAGCAGACGCGCTTCCTCCTCCTGCATCCGCCTCGTGCCCTCCACTTGTGGTTTGTATCTCCTCCTCGTAGATATCATGCCGAGCAACTACATACGATCCTCCATGAGGTGCAGCACCCTATGTAACCGTTTGAACGCCGTGAACGCGCGTTCGCGTTCAAATCATCAAATGTGCGTTTGAACGCAGATTTAAATTCGCGTTCAAAATTGAACGGCGTTCATTTTTTTTTTATTATTATTTTTTTCGATGCCTCAAAATAACTTGTTTTTCTGATTCTGTTTTTTTATGAGTTCTCTATGATGTGGGGTACATGCCTGTTACTTTTGGAGTCATTTTGCTTAGGCAAAAAAAAATGAAAAATCGCCAAAGATGGCGGTGTCAAATCGTGTTTGCCCACTCATTTTTTTACTTTTTATTTTTTATTTTCACTTTATTTTGCCACCTAAAAAAAAATATTTTTTTTTTACACTTTTTTCATGAGTTTTGTATAATGTGAAGTACACATCTGTAAAATTTTAGGGCATTTGGCTGTGCCAAAAAACAATAAAAAATCGCCAAAGATGGCGGTGTCACAAACGTACTCTCGCACTCGCTAATTTCAATTCTCTTTTTACTTTTTTCTATTTACTGTTTTCTATTTTTATTTCCAATTTGGTAACGAATTTGGATGTAATGCTCAGGCAAATGTTGTTTATTTTATTTTTCTTCATAACATAGTTTGTTTTCAGAATTTTTTGAGGTTTTGTTTTTCTTTTCTTTTTTTTTCCCCGGGGAATTGAACTCCGCGTTCGGTCGCGTTCATTGCACGCGCGTGCATTCCGTTCAGTTTCTGAACGGAAAACCCGCGTTCAATGAATCGCGGTTTTATAGGCAGCCCCTCCACCGACAGCCCCATCACCACCTCCCTCTGCATCGTCGTCCTCACCTCGAATGGGGTCTAGTCCCCGTCTGCAAACACCACCATCACCCTGCACGCGTTGGGGGCCGTCCCCCTCCTCGGCATCATAGGACTGCTCCCCTGTTGCGCAAGTATCTCGATGATCAAGCGCGTGACTACGCATCGACCGATGCAATGCCCGTCTCAAGGGAGCGTCCAAGGTCGCTCTCAGACTGATGTACTGCGTCACAGGGAAGCACTGAGCAAGCACCAGCACTCACTGTCTCTCCTCTCGGTCCCTCCTATCTACATTCGTCTACACCTCCATCTCCCCAATGGGTGGACACTCGACATCAATCCCTGTGCGTCGCATGCTCCCTCCAGGCCTACTCTCCATCCCCAAAACTGTCTCCATCAACAAACTGCTCGAGGCACCCCCATGACCCCGTCCATATCCAACCCCCCACAACATGGCTGACAGGTGTCTCCTCCACGACGATTGGGGCATTGCCGTCATCATGGGGGGTCGGTGGAGGACCCATCAACAAGCCGAGAAAATCGTCGATCGATCCAGTCACAACGGCCTCGTCCCGTGTAGTCGCAGAATGGTCGTGGTGTGCCACGGAGTTCCCCCTGTGAGGGGAGCGAGGAGCCTGCCCCCCCCCGATCATCCGCCTCCACCACCCCTACCTGCCCCCCCAAAACACAATCTCTCACCTCCCTCAATCTCTCTTAACATCGCTCACCCTATACTCTGGCTGCGTCCTCTGCACCCCTGCCAAAATCCAGATCGTCGTCGGAATCACTACGGCCCTCGTACCCTTTATCGTCACCGTCACTACCCGATTCGATAGACGTAGGTTGTCGCTATCGACTAGACGCCTTCTTGTGCAGTACCTCTACATGATCGGCCCTATCAACTACTGCGGGCTATGAATC